AGCCTTCTCGTACAGACACTGTGCAAGGTCAGGGAGGATGAGGAGCAGGTCCTCTGGTAGCGCCGTACTGGCCCAGTCGGACTTGGTTCCCCGAACTAATGCTCCTCCCCCTCCTTGGCAAATTCCTCTGAGGAGGGATCTCCTTTCGCAGAGAAGGGGCACCCTCTGGCACCCGCGTCCAGACTTGTGGAATCTCCACTTGTGGTCCCTGGACGGGACGCAGAGGTTCTAGGTGGGCTACCTCCAGCGGTAGTAAACACCATCACGTCAGCTAGAGCCCCGTCTACCAAACACGCTTACAGGCTGAAGTGGAACCTGTTCGTCGATTGGTGCTCTTCCCGCCGGGAAGAACCCCGTAGATGCCCGATAGATGCCCGAGTTGTGCTTGATTTCCTGGAGCATGGGTTGGAGCAAAGGCTGTCTCCCTCCACCCTCAAAGTGTATGTTGCCGCCATTGCCGCACATCACGAGGCAGTAGACGGTAAGTCTCTGGGGAAGCACGACTTGGTCATCAGGTTTCTCAGAGCGGCAAGGAGGCTGAATCCTCTGCGCCCTCACCTGTTACCCTCTTGGGATCTCCCCTCGGTCCTGGCGGCCTTGAAGGAGGAGCCCTTCGAGCCTCTGCAGTCAGTAGAGCTTAAGTTTCTGTCGTTAAAGACAGTGCTCCTCACCGCATTGGCCTCGGTCAAGAGGGTAGGGGACCTGCAGGCATTTTCGGTCGACGATTCGTGCCTAGAATTCGGAACGGGTAACTCTCACATTGTCCTGAGACCCCAGCCTGGATACGCGCCCAAAGTTCCCACCACGCCTGTTAGGGATCAGGTGGTGAACTTGCAAGCACTGCCCCGGGAGGAGGCAGACCCAGCTATCGCTCTGCTCTGTCCTGTTCGCGCTCTGCGCATTTACATGGACCGTACGCGGAGCTTCAGGACCTCAGACCAGCTCTTTGTCTGCTTCGGAGGACAGCAGAAGGGTCTCCTTAGTCTCCAAACAAAGACTTGCCCACTGGTTAGTGGAGGCTATAGAAAGCCATTTCTAAAGGTTCTTTATTGGCATCTACAGTTCAGTCAAGATCAGGGGTGTCTAGATCTGCTCCTGGAGAGCCAATGTCCTGCAGAGTTTGGAAGTTTCTAGTAAGTCTGAAGACCTTGATTAGCTGGTTAAGGTGTGTTTAATTAGGGTTGGAGCTAAACTCCCAGGGGTGCGTTTCCAATACAACAATGTCACTCACTGATTAACCACCACAGTATGATGCATTGTTGTGGAAACTAACTAGCCAGTCACAACTGTTTCCCGAACACGGTCACATATCCATTGTTTGAACCACATTAGTTCAACAATTTAGGGCAGTTTTTAATGACATCACATGCATGTGGTGGAGTAATAACTTCTGCTAATTAATTGATTCGAGATTTCTGAGATGCTGCTGTATTGAACATGGCACCTGATGACTAATTTACTATGTTTTGTTCCCTGTCATTTTGCTTTATTTGATGTTTGATTCATTTCTTCTTACATAATACTCCGGGGTTCCCTTAGTTATTTATGCACATGAGCACTCTTCAAAAAACGGCGCTTATTGAGGACGTGCTAAAATTTATAGATTCAAATATTTTTTTTTAAATTGAATGGAAGATATAGATTGTACTGCATGTTACCCCCGGCCCCCATCATGTGCATCTTCTACAGAGGCACCATCGAGAGCATCCTGACCAGCTGCATCACTGTGTGGTATGGCGCCTGCAACGCGTCCTGCCGCAAGACACTTCAACGCATAGTGAGAGCAGCTGAGAAGATCGTTGGTGCCTCTCTCCTCTCCCTCCAGGACATTTACAACAGCCGTCTCACCCGCAAAGCCCTCTGCATTGCAGGTGATCCCACCCACCCGACACACAGCTTCTTCAGTCTGCTGCCATCAGGGAGGAGACTGCGGAGTCTCCAGGCCAGGACCAGCAGACTGAAGGACAGCTTCATCCATCAGGCTGTCAGGAAGCTGAACTCCCTCCCGACCTTGCCCCCCCTCCCCTCTTTTGCCCCACGCACCTCTGAACTCTGAC